TTTGCAGCATCGGGCTTTCCTTTCACTTCCAGGTGCGTCCGCAGCTGAGCGTCCTTTGGCCCAACCGCTTCATTAGCTCTGGAGCTACTTGTACTTGTCCTCCACTCTTCGTCAGTAGCATGTTGGATGTCTTCCGACCTGAGGGGTTCATCTTCCAGCATCATATCTTTTAGCCTTTTGTTTCTGTTCATGGGGTTTTCTTGGCAAAGATATTGGAGTGGCTTGCCAATTCCTGCTCCAGGTGGATCGTGTTTAGTCCGATCTCTTCACTATGACCTGTCTGTCTTGGGTATCCCTGCATGGCATAGCCCATAGCTTCTCTGAATTACTCAAGCCCCGTCGCCACAACAAGGCAGCAATCCATGAAGGCATCCTTGTTTGATAGGGGGCACTAAAACCTAAGAGGATCTCCTAAAAGGGCCATGGTAAAAAAAAAAAGAGTTGTGAATGACTGATTTAGAGAACTCACTGTCTTCCTTAAAAATTCTTACATGATGAACTTGAGTTGTTTATATATATGAATATTTGCCTGGTTAGTATAGGATGCCAAAAGGGAGAACATCTTGTTGTAACAGGTATAAAACAGATGTAAACAGCTTTGCTAGAATATATTGCTAGCAATATTATTTATAACTGTGATGACAAAATTAATCTGTGATGCCAAGTGTAGGTGTGGAGCATGGACAAATCATGAGTCCCAACTCATCCTCTTGGATGGGAGATCTAGAAGAACAAGCCTGGCCAGTTTCCTGTCAAGTCTGTTCAGGAAATATTTAAATAGGTCAGCCTGCTATCTTGCTCATTCTGACTTTGCCAGTTTTAATTGTATATAAGTAATAGCATTTTATTTAATTGTATCAGAATTATTGTTGTTGTGAGGAAATGAAAGGTCCCATTGAGTGATATTTTTAGATGTATAGAGCTATCGTAGGGCCAATGTAGAACCTCAATGTTGGGTTATTTACTTTTTCCTTGCCTTGTTTACTTTCCTTGAGTTTGTCTCCTGATTCTTCCAATTCACATCCTCTCATTAAACAGATAAATCTAATAATTCTGATTGATACTGAAATGCACAGATTAGAGTGGCTAGGACCTTTCAAGGGCAGTATATATAAGCATAGGGAGACCCAGCAGTGTGCTTGGATAAATGGAACAAAGGATGCTAGATGACAATCTGTTGAATTGCTCAATGACACTATTTCATACCTGACTTCTTTCCTCATCCTAGTAATGTATATTAATTGCCACCCCTTTGAGTTTGTACAGCCTTACTTTATCCCATAGGAATACGTTCTTCTGCATAGGCTCTGTGCAATCAGTGAGCCACTAACATTGCAGAAGATCAGTTAGCTTTTCCCAGCAAAAATACTGTACAAGCTCTACCTCATTTATTGAGCAAGTTCAAGTCTGCTGTTTATCAAACTGTCAACAATGATCACAATGAGTCTTGTATTATCTTATAGACCATAGGTGAACAAAGCTCAGCCTGTGGATTGCATGCATCCCCTGAATCCCACTAGTGCCCCTCTCTCCAAGAAATTCAGGATAAAAGTATCATTGCATAAACATTAAAGTAGACTTCCAGACACTTCAGAGTTTTTATTTTTTCTAATTCTGGGAACTGCTCACAGGAAGTCCTGGCATGGAAAATTGGGCCCTGTTCCTCCAAAGTTGCCAAGTCCTGTTTCAGACTAATGAATTTATTGTGGAATAGGTTTTCATAGAGTCCATTTAATTGGTGAGGTGATCTCCATGTATATTTTCTCTCCCTCAGGCCTGGGTCACACAAAGGAAATGTTTTCTAGTTTTTCCAATACTTTCCATATCTCTGTTGTACTGAATCGTGGTCACATGGTTTATACTCTGGGATAAACATCCCAAGAACTTTTAGTGGTACTGATTTAAATCCTCCTATTTGAATCATTATGGCTGGCTACATCATGGTACTGGTTTATTTTCTCTCTTGCTTCTAGAGGCAATTTTGCTCAGTTAAGCACAAACATCATATGCAAGAGGAGTCATAAGACAGTGCCAAAATATTTATGGCTTTATGCAAAGGGAATTGAAAACCATTGTTTCAATTGAGGGCCTAAGTATTTAAAATCACTATTACATTCTAGTTTAGCAACTCTGTACTAGAGTCTTTCTTTGAAGTTCTTCTTTACTGTGACTTTCAGATGCCATTCACCCTAGAACTACTGTTTCATCATGTAATAATGTTGCCTGGATGTATATTGGGATAGAACTTGTACAGTGGTGCCTCGAATTGTGACGTTAATTCGTTCCAGCGAAATCGCTGCTAAACGAAAACGTCGCGATGCGAAAATAAAAAGCCCATAGAAACGCATTAAAACGTGATTAATGCGTTTCTAGAGGCTTCAAACTCACCATCCAGCGAAGATCCTCCATAGCGCGGCCATTTTTGCTGCCTGTTAAGCGAGGAATCCGTCCCAGAAAACAGCGGGTGGCCATTTTGAAACCGCCGATCAGCTGTTAAAAAAAGCATTGCTTTTTCCACTGGGGTGCAGACGGGCGGGCTGGAAGGGTGGGACGCAGACAGGCCACCACCTGAGCAGCCGCCTGGCAAACGCAGCGAGCCTTTCCAGGGCCGGCCCCGCAGACAGGGCATCGGCTGCCCAAAGCACTTGGCTCCGGCCTCTGCCTCCCTCCTGCCCGCAGCGCCTGGCGGTTCGACGTGGACGCGGCCGCGCTCCCCAGGCGCCACAAGGAAGGCCTCCGGAGTTTGTCTGCCTTGGACGGCAAGCAGCGGGAGGAGGGCTCGAAGGCAGGCAGCTGCCCGGGGCGGGAAGGGGCGCGCCACCCACCGCCAGCCAGCCAACCCCGGAAACCTGGTCTCCTTGGCGGGGCTCTCCCGGAGTGCAGACTGGGTGAGGAGGGGGTCTCTGGCACACGGCTCCCCCCCGTTCAGCCGCTGCCGTCCTGATCCCGGTCCCGAGAGAGAGGACCGAGAGGGGGGGGAGGGAGCGCCGCTTCCTCCGGCGAGCGACGGCTCAGAGGCAGCCGCCCAGGGCGGGAAGGGATGCGCCAACCACCCACCCACCGACCGCCAGCCAGCCAGTCCGGGACGACACACAGCCTCCTTGGCAGACGGGGCGAGGAGGGGGTCTCTGGCACGCCGCCCCCCATCCAGCTGCTGCCGCCCTGATCCCGGTCCCGGGCGGGTGCCTCCTCCTTTGCAGGCCTTTCGCCCCTCTCTCCTCCCGAGGCGCCAATCCGGAGCACCCCGCTCCCCCCTTCCGCCGTCCCCTATTTATGCACGAGCTCTTGGGGGGGTAGTGTGCGGCGCCAATCAGCTGTTTAAAAAGCATTGCTTTGCCATGATCGGTTCCCCAAGCAGGGAACCGATCATCGCAAAGTGAAATTCCCCCATAGGGAACATCGCAAAACAATCGCAAAATCTTCATGGCAAAGCGATTACACTGCTATACGAAGCAATCGCTATGCGAGGCACCACTGTATCTCAAATTGGTGCAGTGCCTGGTTCCTATTATATAGTCTGATCTTGCCCGTGAGGAGTCCTTGAGATTCAGGGTCTAATCTCTGCTATTTATTTGTTGCTGCTGTTATGAAGGGAATTGTGTTTATCTTAAGCATCTTTTACGTTTTATATAGCCATGGAACGCAAGAGTTTGTGGCAACTGATAGAACAGCTTATGCCACAAAATGTCTTTCACATACCACAATTCCACTTGGATTTTAGTGAGGTGAATTGACATGGCATCATTTCTGAAAGCTGTATTAGTAAATACGAGATAGTCATAATTTGCCCATGCCCCTCTTTCTTAGACAAAACAGCATAGCTGATTGATCAATGTAACAGAAGCCTTTTAAACTCTTGCATCTTCTGTCAGGTGTCTTAAATCTAAAGTGTTGCTCTCATTTGCCTCCAGATGAAACATTCTGTAGTATCTGCTGTGCTTGTGTTGCTTCTCAGCTCATACTTCTAAACGAAGTTTACCCTCTCTGGAAAACAATGACAAAAATAACCCATTTTGCATGAGGAGAAATAATACATGTATAATGTTTGCCAGTGTTGACTTCTGTCACAAAAGATATGCAGGAGAGGGACATTGAAATATTGTCTGGAATCCTCCTGTGTAGAATGTAGACCAAGTGCAGAATCCTTCCCCACCCATCGTTCAGCTTTTTTGTTTTATTTTCTGCTCACAGTTGTGAAATGCCTAGATGCCTTCACAATGGCACCTTTAGATGATCTTTATGTGAACCAAGAATTCTATCATGTGTTCAGTGTTACTGTCTTAATTCCGGGGGGGGGGGGGAGGAATCATGTTAAAGTGACCACAGTTGGGGTCTGTTGTAACAGGGAAATATACAAATATTTAACAGAGAAATATGGAAATATTTGAGTTGCTTTAACAGTGCACAAAAGTCTTGGAGTTTTGCCAGACTTCAATCTGTCTATTCCATATCATAGAAAAGTGGAGCGAAATCTTTCTAGCCACCTCTCAACACTGCTGAAAACCTCTAATGCAAAAGTGATATCAGATGTGACCTTAATTGGACATCAAACGGAAATAATTGGAAAAAAATTCAATGCATTGTGGTGTGGGATTTTTGTAGTATTCTATTGTTTTAGAAATGCCTATGATATTAGACTGAGCTATGCTTTTCCTAGTGGATCTAGTGAGTTGAATATTCTTTCTGACTTTGGAAACTCTCAAGCATTCTGAGTAACAATGAAGTTATCCATAATAGGTTGCAGAAATAGATCTTACTTATATTCCAACTCCCATGCTTCTTATCTTCAACTGTGCATTTGAAATTGTTCCTTGCAGAGTTCCATCCCTATCAACAAGGGATTTCATAAACAGAGGCTCTAATCATGTGTTGAATAGACTGGAGTGTGTAATAAAATAACCTTCTGGACTATCCTGCAAACTGATTCAAATCTCAAGGATTTAAACTATGCTTCAGAGTTTTTCCTTTTTCTTAATGACACTTTTCTCTTCTTTTTTCAGCCGAAAATAAATCACCACCTCGCTCTTGTGGTTTGAATCATTCAGACTCTCTTAAGAGAGGGGATCGCATTGATGCTGTGACACCATCAATAGGGAGTAGCAACAACCAGTTGAACTCCTCATTTGTTCACGTGTATGTTCCAGACTACTCAGTGAGAGCAATCGCAGACATTCAGTATGTCAAGGTAAGAAAGGGGTAATGAGGTTTTCTGTTCACAGGATAGTCTAGAAAAGTAGGCTGATTGTAAGTGCTAGTTGCCAATCAATCATGACTGTGATCATGCAGGCAAACTTTGAAGGACATATTATGGAGTGCTGGAACTCTTTTCTTTATTATTGTTATTATTGGGAGATGATAGCTTCTTTTTTCTCTCCAAAGAAGAAACTACATCTTGCTTGCAAAGACAGGGAATTCTAAAGCAGTATTTGCTCACGTAGTAGTGAACTGTGAGAACTCTATGAGAGAATCGGCAGACGGAAGGAACAGCTGACTCTTTGTTCTGCACCTTCTTCCTCCCAGCTGCCACTTCTCTCCTGCAGATACTCCCTGTCCACCACAATATCATTATGTGACAATCACAGAGTGGGAAATCTGGTGTTTTGCTTCTTTCCACATTCTGCAATTGCTAAGTTGTTTCAGTACTTCACAGCTGCCTTTCAAAAAATGTTGTGTATTGTTAATAGGTGTTGCCAAATTATGTATTTCAATTCTTACATGAATTGATGGCCTTCTTTCTATATATTTTAATGGCAGCCATTTAACTGCTGCCAAAAGCAGGTCGAAGTTGTATGGCAGAGATATTTAATCTCTGGCCCAGAGACCTAGTGCATCCTGCAAGACTTTCACCAGACATCACTGACCTTGATGCCCACAAGCCAGTACAGCAGCCATCTGTTTGAGGGAAGGAAAGGGCAAGGAACTCTGCTTCACCAGTCTAAGGAGCTGTATCAAGCTATTGAAGCCAGTTCTGTTTGGGTCAGTTGTTTTCATCTGTAGAAATTGATGAGCGTGGGTGAATGAATGAATCAATGTATTACATGTGTGTTTACACCTATGTATCTAAATGGTGACTCCAGCACTTTTTTCTCCCTTAGTCTCACCCTGTCCCTTAGTCTCGAGGGCTGATACATGGCCCTCAGAGTGAAGATGTTACCTATCCCTTTCATACTGTGGAAATAGCTACACATACTGAATTTGGTAGAAATAGTGCTAGATTATGTGAAGATCTCATTTCTCCATATTAATGGAGCAGATGCCCATTCACAACTGATTGGAAGCAGCCATCCAATATACATCTTGAGTCTCTTTCAAGAGATACAATAGATGTTTGACTATCATATCCTAATTTCTTTGCTTCTCTCCCTCATATTAAAGGAAACATTGGTATTCATTTTAGCGTCCAATATTCCTATATTGTGTTTTTACAAATGCTAGGAGTTCAAAATATGTAGTTCAGGGAACTGTGTTGCAAACACTGTACAGTAGTTAGATTGCTTATATATGTTATATTAGAAGCCACCGGAATTGATTTCAGTAACTGATCTGCTCAAAAGAACATGGCTAAGTCAAATTGTTGGTCCCCAACTGGAGTATACCCGAAGATAGTTGTTGTGGGTTTTTCAGGCTCTTTGGCTGTGTTCTGAAGGTTGTTCGGCCTAACGTTTTGCCAGTCTCTGTGGCCGGCATCTTCAGCGGACAGAACACAGCCAAAGAGCCCAAAAAACCTACAACAGCCATTAGATCTCGGCCGTGAAAGCCTTCGCGAAGACCCAAAGATACTTTGACATGTCTAAACTTACACAAGTCCATTGAATTGGTATATCTCTTCTGACCGGCGACTAAAAATTCAGTTTCAAAAATTAGCTATTTAATTGCATCAATATAATGTTTGAAGCATTTCATGTATATAATATGGAAAATAGCCTTATTGCTAGAAGGACTGGGGTTTCTTTGCAAGTGATGTTTCTTACACTGTATACCAAATCAGCAGTATTCACCAGTTTTAAACAATCAAAATATGTTTGGCATAAAATGTACAATTTGTGTTACATAACCTAAGAGTGAATTTTTGTTGTCCTCTTTCTTGCTTCAGCATCTAAATTCAGTACATTGTTCAGAATGAGATTATATCTTCACAATTTGTATATTGCTTTATTTCAGGTAGTCGTCTGAAGTATAGGTTGAAGGTTAAATATAACTTACTCTATTCAGATTGAGGATTTTTTTGTTATTTTTAAATGCATAAGATTTATAATTTGCACTAGGAACAAATCTGTATTACTTTTCAGCCACCTCTTGATGAAAATGGGTAAACAAGGATGCATTAAAGAAAAAAAGTATTAGAAATCTCTGTGAGCTGGAAAGATTAGAAACTTTTCAGCCTTTTTGGAAATCTTTTAAAAATATCTTAATCATGACACTATGTGATAACCTTGTATGAAACATTTTTTATTTCAGTAAATATTATGTTGGACTCATATGCCAGAAATATTGGGAGTTTGCAGAACTTGATTTTGGGGCAACAAAGGACAAGCTGGGTTGTGATTTACCAAGTCCTGGTGGATATGTCCTTGTAAAGCCACCATCACCGAAACAAACAAACAATAACTTATCTTTTTATTTCCTTTCATGTTCTCGGCATAGATCTCAAGACAGCAATACCAAAACGCCCTAATGGCATCTCGGATGGATAAGACACCTCAGTCCTCAGACAGTGAAACCACTAAAATAGAACTGCCTCTTACAGAACTACATGATGGCTTGCCAGATGAGATGGCAAATCTGTTGAATGAACAGAACTGTGTAACTCACAACAAGTCCAACCACAGTATGCACAATGAAGGTGCCATCTAGGAGCTGACACAAAGCATCTCACTCTTCCTTTAACTTCCACCCTAGTCGTCTGTTCAGCAGGACCGGTCTTCATCCCTTCCCTCCCTTCTACCTGACTCTGAATACCATTAGTATATGCTTATTAAGCTGTGCTCTGAGACCAAAGACCTCATGTCCATTCTGGAAACAGGAAAAAAAGCCAGGAAAAAACAGGAGCTCAGAGAATGAGACGGACACAGGAGTCTAAAAAGAACAACAAATATCTAAGTAAAACTTGGGGATGATGAGCCACCTTTCTGGAATAAATGGCAAAATTCTTCCTAGTGGTTCAGAATCCCACAGAATCCCAGCTATATTGATGAGTTCCAGGACCTTTCCAGTGAAGCTGTTATACTGTTGTGAATTTTACCCCATACCTTGTTTGTCCTTTACCTTTTTGTTCTTCCCCTTCTTGAAATGACAAACTGGTACTAGAATGTATTTGTTTTGTAAAGAAAGATTGAATGAAACTTCAGGACCCTCTAGCATCTGTTGGGAAATGGGGAGAAAAACTGTTTCCTCTCTGTCGATCCTTTAAGAGAGGAGATACCTTGGGGTTGTACATTCCTTTCAACAATCACATTTCTAAAGTTCAAGAATGTCAGAAAATGTGAGGTGTGACATATGAAGAAAAGTGCTTGATTTTTCAAAGACAGTACTTCTTATTTATTCTGGAAGGACTAATGGTGGGTGGTACTCTCTGCCATCTTTTGTGTGCTGAGTCCATGCCTAAACCTATTTTTATTTTTATTCTGATGTGCCGTCATAATCAATTTGCCCTCCAGGTTAAGAAAAGATCCCACAATATAATTAGGATAGAATCTAAGAAATATCAGTCCCCCAACCCCGAAAACCTTTTGTTTAAAGATGCTGCTATGTTGATAGCGAAAGTAAATCATCCTAGGTGTACTGCACTTACAGAAAACGCATTACTATGGATGGTCTATATCCTGTCCCCCTTTAGAGTTTGCAAATATATTTCACAATAAATTCAGCCTGTGGTGGTGATTGGGTGGGTATGCATATATCTGTGAAGGTGAGTGATTGAGTATACTAAGCTCGTGTTTTTAGTACCCACTTTTTCTGCCTTCAGTTTTTAAAGACTCTGTGCGACACCAGCAGGGCCTGAAAAATGGACTTAAAATGTCTTCAGAGTATTCCCAGCTTCCATTACCATAGCAGGCTAAATTTAATTGGCGAGTATTTGGGAGAGTGTTCCATGAACTGTTTGGATTACTCATTTGAGCAACTTTGCTTGATAAGATTATGGTTACCGGAGCCCTTTCTCGTTTGCAAGAAAGAAGACTGTGAAAGCTGATTTCCATTCATTGCTTTCACACAGTGGTCTTTGGACGGGTTTCCAGATTCTTGTATACAAAGTCTGATTTTGACTTGCATCCTGATTCCTAATATTTTGTATTCCTTTTTTCTTTACGCCCTGCCAGAATCTTGGCTGGTGGGAATGCTTCAATACTTTTACATGGGTTAGTGTAAGATGGAGATGAGCTTCCTGTGCAAATACTTTTTTAGGGAATGTATATTCTTCATCACCTCAAGAGCTCCTCAGGTGTGCTACGTTAAATTTGTTCAACTATTTTAAGGCTTCTCACTCAAGAGTTTAATCTGCGAAAGAGAAACAAATGCTATATTTCAAAAGAAGAAAATGGAATCAAGATATATTTTTTTCAGTTTCTGTGTGTTGTGTCAGTACTTCAAGAAAAATTCCTTTGAAGAGGCATGGCACTTCCAGCTATGACAGTTAATATGATTGAAAAATACAGACCTTTCCATTTACTAGACAATTTTTTTAAAGGTGGACTTCAAAAGAACTTGTTTTATACCCATTTTATAAAATATCCACTGTCCTTGACAGCATTTCTGTGCTATTGGGAAGTGTTTAAGAAAGTATAATAAACTTTAGGAGACATACGAGGCTAAAATGATTTGTCCTCCTTATTGGAGAAGTGTTGCAGGATTAAATGTAAACAAAGCCAAAATCCTCAAGGAACTGTAGTGTAGGCGGGGAATCATGCAGGCAGCCCCCCCCCTTATGCCTCCAGCTGGTTGTCCTTCATGTGACTGGTTATGGTAGGGTTAGATCAGATGAATGAGGGTTAGTGCATGGCGTGAGGGGCTGCTTTTGTGATGTTCTTGAGCAAGGGGGATTTTTATCTGATTGTGTTCTACTATTTCATGCAACCATCTTTCAAAATACTGTACTTAATTTTCCCATAAAATGTGTTGAATTCTACAGTATGTGATAGTGCCTCAAATAGTTACCCCAATCTATCACAACTAGTTCTTGTGATGTTTTCCTTAAAGTTTGAACCCTTATTTCAACATCATATATTATGGATTAGGCTTGGGAGAAACTTTGCAAAGCTTTGCAAGGGAATGACAATTTTCCACAGCTTAGAATCTGGAGACTTCTCTGTTGTTTGTGGTAGAATGAGTACCATGTATATTTTTAAACAGTTCTCAGTCAATAAGGTAAGGGTAAAGATTCCCCTTGACAATTTTTGTCCAGTCGTGTTCGACTCTAGAGGGCGGTGCTCATCCCCGTTTCCAAGCCATAGAGCCAGCGTTTTCGTCCGAAGACAATCTTCCGTGGTCACATGGCCAGTGCGACTTAGACACGGAATGCTGTTACCTTCCCACCGAAGTGGTCCCTATTTATCTACTTGCATTTGCATGCTTTCGAACCGCTAGGTTGGCGGGAGCTGGGAGAAGCGATGGGAGCTCACTCCGTCGCGTGGATTCGATCTTACGACTGCTTGGTCTTCTGACCCTGCAGCACAGGCTTCTGCGGTTTAGCCCGCAGCGGCACCACGTCCCTTCTCAGTCAATAGCAAAAAATAAAAAGATGCTATCAATTCATATGATGGACAATATTTTGGAATTTGTCTCTTGGGTATGCCATGGCCAACACCTGCTTTAGCAGTTCTCCCCTGCTTTCTGTGCTTCATAGTGCTTTAGATCTGAATACATATGTATTAAAATGTTATATGGAAAGTGTACTCACATTAGATTACCTGAATTTAGCCATATCCCTAGAAATATTCAAATTATTTAAAAGTACTTCCCATAATCTATATTAGACAGTTCAACTATTTGCCAGCCTTTTAAATAATCAAAATACATCTTGGGAGAAATATGTGCAATTGACTTTACTTGAGAAAGTGCCCTTAGAAGGGGTTGATAGAGCCCTTCTCACCTAACTACCATGTTATGCAAGGTCTGGCATAGAATTGTTGGCAGCTTTGGGAACCAGCACTGCAGTTTTTACAGGACTTTTGACTTGCTAGAATTAGCATCTTCACCCTCCTATTGCTTTCATTCCTCTTTGTTGCTTGGTAAGTACAGTCAAGAATTTGATAGCAATAAGGGGTCACTTAACCTTTGTTTTATACTGTGGAACTGGATATTTTGGGGTTGTTCTTGCAATAGTTGTTTTTGAAGTGATGTTTCTGACAATCATATTTTAAATGTTAAGCTGTAAATTAATTTTACACCTGTTGGTGCAAATGTTTTTAAACAAACCAAGCCTTTGTATTCTTTTAATACAGTGTATTGCCAAGCCTTTGGTGAGTATAATTAGTTCTTAATTGTGACTTCAGATTCAATTTAAGGGAGTGATTTTAGTGCCCAGAAAACATAAAAACCTGCTGTTGAAGAGGAAGGAAGGATTTTATCCTTTTCCTTTGCAGGCACAGTGCTTGCAAAAGATTTTATTTTCATCTTGCTCATTAGAATGTGTAAGTATTAAGCAGCAAAGCATGGGTGGACCGTTAGGATGTGTAAACATTAACTAAGGCTAAGCAAATTATGATTGAAAAGCAGTAAGTTCTGTACACATAGATAATTCATTTCCCAAAGTATTTTGTATGGCTTTCCTGAAAGAATAAATCCCAGAAGTAATCTCTAATGCCGTAGATTAAATAGAATCAGTGTTGACACAGGAATAGTGTCACTCTACTTTGCCTTTTTTACATCCAAATAGTGAAAAACTACACACATAAGGTAACTGTTGTACATTCATTATCCACTGCATATTTTTGAATAAGACTTAATTACACATGAGGTTTCAGAGTCACTGCAATACTGGGTGCTTTGACAGAAAGATAAAACCTACACAATCACCCTTAATGCATTTGCACAAGTAAGCAGGATTATGGCTCCTGATATTTAATTGCCATGCAATTTTAATATCTGTTGTTTTTACATGCACCTCCATGCTAGGGTAGAATCTAAAAAAGTGTAATACTTGACCTTTTAAACTAAATGTAAAGGTAAGGGTGGTCCATGTATCTTCTCCAAATTCACAGATTTACCACAGTCTAGCACTAGAGGGAGCCATTGATGTTTTAACAGGCCACTGAACATGTGCAGACTACTACATGGAGCAATAGCCATGCATTTTCAAGCTCCTTTCTTGTTGTTTTTGTATGAACTAAGCTGAAGATGGATACAAAGGTGTACATTGCTTAATAGTTTACAGCAGAGATGGTTCCCCATGCTTATCTCCTAAGGACTGTTCATGCCCCTCTGGTGACCATGCACCAGTGTGAAAAGGTGCACATGTTCAAGTCTTCATTGAAATTAGGATTCCTGATTAGCCCAGGGTTCCTAACTGGAACAAAGATTTGCACAGTTGTGCATCAATGTCGAACACTTTCAGACTCGTGTTGTGTGACTGCCAGTGGGATACAGCCAATCAGCATATTAGGGCTAGTGGGCATGCTCCCACTCCCTTCTTGCATTGTAAGAAATTTCTGGTGTATGTTTTGTTTTATTTTCAGTGTAAGCAGACCTCTGTTATGAAGGTATAGCTTAGCTGGTAAGCATAGGAGCAGTAGCTATTGTAAATGTTCACATTTTACTGTTAACTACAGTGCTTCGTTAATTCTGGGGTCTAGTTATTGGGATGCTTTCAGCACTATGTGAAATAGTCTCTGGATGATCTGTGCCTTCACCTCTGATGATTGGGTATGAATTTGAGATTTTGAAAACTTTTGAGGCAGGGGGATAGTAAAATATCTGAACAAACCACACTAACAGTCTTGACCAGCTGAATGGAATGATGATGAATGCTTAATATGGGAGGAAAAAAATTCTTATGGTAGTGATGCTGTTCACTTTATACATTAAAACTAATTATTGTAATGTTGTAGAATAATACAGAACATCTGCTGAAACCCTTAAAAGCATCTTTCTGGGACTTTAGAATTGGCAAAGAATAAGTAAACAGTGAATTATCTCTCCCTCTCTTCTTCATTCCATCATCTGGAATGTGCACTTTGAGGATTTCTACAGTTCCCCATCCTGCCTGTCTACACCATTGGTTTACTCCAATGGACAGTCTTAGCTGTGAGTTAATGTGTGAAATACAAACATAGATTAGTTGGCTAAGATCTTACCCTGGGAAGGAATGGGCCTCTCATGCAATCTACACCTATATCTTCTTCTAACCTGTCCCACTTTTGTCCCAAGTGTTTACTTGCTTTAGTTTAGCACAGTGCTGGGAGAATAAATGCTTTCAACTGAAGTGCCTCTCTAGATGCTGTAGCATTGCTATTGACACCCAAGTTTGTAAAGATAAAGGTTCCCATTGACAAATTGTCCAGTCGTGTCCGACTCTAGGGGGCGATGCTCATCCCAGTTTCCAAGCCGTAGAGCCAGCGTTTGTCCGTACAGTTTCCGTGGTCACGTGGCCAGCGCAACTAGACACAGTTTGTGCAAAGTGCTTTTAAAAAGGCAGTCTTTTGAGAGATTTTAGGTTAGTTTACCAGAATGTAACTTAACAATGGATCTCAAATCATGAGGATCATGATGAAGGGAACAGATGATTCCAAAGAGATTGGGAGGAACTGGGAAGTGCTGGTTCCTCTTGAAGACTGCCTTCTGTCTCATGAATCTTCTGTGTATGCAGATAAACATGTGCACCATATGCAAACATATATTGGTAAATGAGTTTATTAGTATCAGAGGGGAATGGCTGAGTAATAAAGTCCAGCACTGAGGTCAGACTAGATGCTATGTGTATCATTTCCCTTTTTGTAAAATAGATGTTGCCTATGACTGGAAATGGGAGGATGGAAGACTTTCTGCGAGCAGGATTTTCTGCTCTAAATTGGCCCTAGCAAAAAGTTGTTCCCCTTCTAAGCAGACCAGTTTTTTTACACTCCACCACCGCCTTTTAGATGCTGTTTTAGTTAACAAAAGCATGAAGTCTGGCCTGTACAGTGGACCCTGAACTTACAAACAACTCCACTTATAGACTTTTTGAGTTACAGACTTCTCTGGCTGCAGAATTTAGGTTTGACTTGCAGCCGGAGAATTGACCTACAGACCGGAAAAAAAATCTAAATGGAACAAAAAAGGCCAGTTACAGATTAATCGGTTTTCAATGCATTGTAGATCAATGAAGCCTCGACCTAAAGACTTCTCGACCTGCAGCCACAGTTCCAATACGGATTAATTCTGTAAGATGAGGGTCCACTGTATGTACATATTCCTAGTTTGATCACTCTATAAGGAAAGAGCATTTCTAAGCCTTTTTGTCAGACATCTGTAGTACCAGAACCCTGGCTTCCAACATTTACTATTGAAATGTAAATCCACCTCTGTTGGATATATCCTGTCCTGAAAAGTAGATTCCATATCTAAATGCTGAGAGAGAGAATAGCTATTCTGCAAGAACCTCCATTGAGTTCTGTTTATCTGGAGTGTACAGAAGTTACCCTGGTTTTATTAACAATGTTAAGTAAAATAATTGATTTATGAGTGTAACATTTTGTGGCTGCTATCCTCTTTCCAGTTATAACCCACCTGTCATTGTAAACATGTTACCCCTGTGATTGTTTTTATATTCCCCACATCATTCACCAAGACAAGTCTCTCAGACAACAGTATCTCCATCTAAGCAACCTGTCCTAATTGTAGCTCATTGATTAGGGAAACAACCATTGCACACTTGCTATCCCAGCAAGTACTGCAATAGAAAAAAAAAGACTTCTAGCTGCCTTGGGTCATTTCAGGAGAAAAGCAGGGTATAAATGTTTCTAATAAAGCAAACAAATAATAATACAACATGTAATAAGGGAGATAACACTCTTATGACTCCACCTAAAGCTCTTAATTTCTTAAAGAGTAATTTCTTCAGGGGACAGACAGTGTGTGTTCCATCAAAGTACCCAGAGCTTTCTGTTACTACACACCCACCTTCATGTATGAGTAGCACCATCTCCAGCCAAGTTCTTCTATGCAGTTCATCCTTTTTTCTTTAAGAACCCTCAGGCTGCACAAATTTCCATTATCGATCTTATACCACATCATGACCTTTTAGGGCCCTGCAATTAGCTTCCACTTGTTGCATTCCAAAAAATCTTTTCCTTCTTGCCTTCATGAGATTGTTGCCAAATTGTATATTGTACTTTATTCCACTTCTTCAAAAGTTATAACATTCTGCTGACAGTATTCCACATTGCCTTTGTTTTCTGTATAGCTTCTCAGCAAGCACAAATGAAATGTATTTGTTTCATAAACTGATTGAGACTCCAATGGATTACTCTGTGGTACTGCAGATTTCCAATTTCTTCTATTTATTTTGAACCTGATTTATTTGTATATTTTTGCGATTTTATTGAAAAGCAGATTTCTTTATTTCTGTTAGATAAATGGTTTTTCCTCTGTTGAACATCTGTGTTAAGTGACCTTTTTTCTATACAATGCTTAATTTTATTTGCAAGAGGGTGAGTTACTTTTTAATTAGCAGTTTGGAGAATGGAAGGAGGCTTATTATGGAGCAGGGTCAGAAATGTTATTGGGACTGAGGGCCAATATTTAGATTAGCTGGCATCTCAGGGGCTTCATCCATAAAGGAATATGGCCAGAGAAGGGCATTACAGAAATGGCCAATTAGGTTTTTGTTTATTACTTTAACTTAGAAAAATAATTTTAATAGATAAAATATCAACATTAATGAAATTAATTAGTGCAACGTAAGATATTCACAGATGCTTTAATTTTATCATTACTAGTCTTAGTTCTAGTTTAGAAGACAGCGCTGAAGAGCATCAACATCAGCCACTTCATGAACAATTTCTCATAGCTTATTTAGTAATTAAGAACTGTTCACTATTTTTGGGGTATTTTTGTTTTGTTTTGGTTAAAATTGCAGTTTTGCACCTTTGTTGGACCTGACTTTTCTACACTGTATTAGCAAGACTACAATCTCCGTATTTTCTTCTTGGATGATGTCTTTGTGTTCCATGTTCACTGGAGACAAAATCTATGTGCGTGGTTCACAGAGACCACAAAGAAGAACCTGCAATTCTTTGACACCTAAACAGTCCCTAACCATTACGACAAGGAAATAAAGAACAGTTTCCAATTAGCATGGAATACAGTATTATTCCAGGTAGTACGTTCATTGTCTGGATACCTCTTTATACAACCAAGACACAGAACTATGATTTTAAACAAAAATATTTAAGATAAACTGAACATCAAATTGCCACTGTGGAAGTGGCTGAGAAGCTGTGCCACCAATTGATGGCAACCAAAAGCAAACATCTTGAGGCACTTGGAGGCCATAGGCAGCCTAAAGGCTGTACTTTACCCACCCATCCTGAAGGGATTTGTAGCTTCTGACTGTGTTTGGCCAGGACTCAAATGTCTGTTGTTCATTGATGATAACTTAGCAGATGTTATATGCATGTCCTGTTGGAGGGAGAAAGAACAGGCTGAAAGCGATCAGCCAGACCTAAAAGAAGCAAATTGTTTACATTTCTTAGGTGGGAGGAAAACTCTAGAATTCTGTTTTGTTTCAGTAAGTATTCTGAGGAAGCAAATGAAGTTCTGTCAGCTGACTTGCCAAGCGCTTGCTTCTTAACACAATTTTTGCATTATGCTTCTAACCCTCTTATTTGCTGCTCCTGGTACTACTTTTCTGAAATACATTGTTTCCATATTAAAATGCTGTTTGCTAACCTGATGGCTATCCGTCAAGTTTTTCTTGGACAATCAATCCAATTATTTCCTTCCTCATGCATCTAACAGATCCATAGCTTAACTTTATTCTATATTTTTTAAATGAAAGAATATGTATCTAAGTAAGCCATCCAGAGACCTTTGGGTAGAGTGGGTGGCATATAAGTTAAATAAATAAATAAATAAGTGTGTATGGAAGAAATGCAATTATCCCCACATAGGTCAGCCCCAGCTTTTGTTACTCCTCCTTAGATCTATGGTAGAAACTTGGAAATGACTGCTATATCAACTCAGCTTTTGCAAATGCCAACTGAAGGCTAGCTAGCAAAATCTTAGCATGTCCATAATATCTGCAGCAGGAGTGTCTTCTAGCTTTTCTCTATAATTAGTCTTTGCTGCCCTTTGTTCCTTTGTGATTCTAACTTTTATCATCTTGCCAAGGAAATATGGCTGGGAAGTGCTTTAAAAGTCTTCCAGAGAGACTACTGTGGTTACAAACTTCCAGCAGATCAAATTGTGTATGGATTTCAGCTATACAGTGTCAGATAGAGCTGTTTATTCAGGAGCACAGAAAAGCATATTCAACGTTTGGAAATGCAATTCTTCCATGATATATCGTAAGCTTCTAACATAGTCCACTTCTATCTGAATGCCACAAGTAGAAGAAAAAGACTCAAGAAGATTCTGTTTTTAAAAACGAACAGGCAATCAGTGACTATTCTTTAGTTAACTGAGTAGTTCTCTAAATAGACAGTTTGAGAATCTTGTATGTCATTTTCCACAATACTGAAGTCTAGCTTTGCTGTGGAAGCCTCTATGATTTGTCATTTCACTTTAGCCTGGCGGAAGTCCCAGCTGCTTTTCTTCTTTCGGTTCTCTGCAGAGAAGGAAGGCATTTATTTGAGGATGACTGGAGTCAGAAAACACTGGAATTGGAGTTAGTTTTCTAGATCAATAGTCTTGTAAGATGACAGAAAGCCACAAGGAGTGGTTAGAAACTGTTGTAAACAGATTTCATATTTCTTAGAAACAAGGCAAAGAGTGGTCAATGAGGACACCCAGGGTAAGTGATCTTTGTGATCTTTATGAATATGGAAACAGTGGGTCTTAGTAACATCCAAGTGCTCCTTTGTGTCACCTTAACTGAATCCCACTTTTCTTACATTTTGTAATAGCACACTGCACTTCCTTCTGTGGCAACTCTACAGGACCTTCTATAAGTAAATTGCACTTTTATTGCCTGCCTTTGTAAAGCTTGATGTAGTAGTGATGAGGGGTATCTTTCCCTTTGTTATCCTCACCACCACCTTTTGAGATAATGGAGGCATAACAGGCTGTGATTGGCTTTAGGTTACCAATGAGCTTCATAAATTGCTTCATACTTTCTTATGTCATGGAAAGGGGACTTTCAGCCCATAGAGTTCACACTCTTGGCTGCTGTTTATGCCAACTGAGTTCTAAGTACAGAACTCCTATGGTACCTGCAGACAATGTTTGTAGGAATGGACTAAGCCCCAGTATTGGGATTCCCTGGTTAAAGGGAGGGATGCTTGAGACCAAGTCCCTGCTTTATATATGTCAGGATGATGCTAAAAACCTCAGGCCTGTGTATTAAAACACTACTATGAGCTTTTTGAAGGAAAAAAGGAGATGCAAATATAACAGTGATACTAAGAAACAGTTCTATTATTCATCTGTAATACAGCTTCCTTTTCCTAATTTGCTTTTAGCTCTTTTCCTCTCCGTAGCACTGCTAGTACTTGTGTCTCTCCGATTTGTTACTCATCTTCTACCAAACACTAGCAGGATAAAGAAGAAGAGAAGTTCTGCTGGTCAGTGCAAAAAAGGAACCATATTTTAACTACTTCAGTAAAAGGATCTGATTCTTCCAAATGCCATTGGAGTGGACTTGCTGTTGCTAGCCAAGATACCTGATTTACAATAGACTCTGGCATGATGAGAGTAGACCCACTGAAAACAAACAGACAGGTTAGATTCATTATGATTTCAATGAGATGTAGCCTGACTTGGTCTGGATCCTACTGTGAATTATATCCACTATTACAATACCAGAATTCTACGTGTGCAATACGATCCTTATTTCCTTATTCCCCCCTTTGAAGGCCCCAAAACCCATTTAGAGCAGACTGGAGGGGCATGGAGGTTGTAGGAAAAAGAAAATCTTTCCCAATGAGCAGACAATAACGTTAGTGGAGAAGCATTACTAGATGTGTCCCCCTCTTGGGAAATGTTGTCTCTTTCTCTCACTTTCCTTCTTGTCACTTAAGCTGCAAAAATTAGCTTGTGTTAAAATATATTCTTTTCGTTATAATGAAACTGGTGACTCTCATATTAATTGTTCTTTCAGGAGTACAAGTGTCAGCTGAACTTCATATTCTTACCAACTGAGCATTGACAATAAGATCTGTATTTCAAAATTAGGAAAAAAATGTCTGTAAAATAAAATAAAATGGGAAAGTAACCAAAGTGGGATTTGATAAGGTTCGGCTTCTGAAAACCTGTTACCTCTGAGTCTTCTAGTAGCATTAGATAGCTGCTGTTGCTTTCCAGCTGAGCTCCACAGCCATGCTGCAGCCGCCCCTCTAGACAAGACCCAAGTCATCAACTAGTGATCTTCCATTGTAGCAGCAACATTTCAACAAAACCGAAAACTGTAGTCGACCAATGTCCCTCAATATTATGAATACATTCATCCCTAACTGTTGTTCTTGGAATAGATTTTTAACATCAAGCTTTATTCACAATACAGCCTTTCACTTTCTTCATAAATCTTGTTATTAGCCAAAGAGTATGACACTAATGAATCCACTTTTCCTCACCCCTTCTTTATGTACACATCAGAGCTACTTTGTTATGAAACGTGATGATTTATTTATTTATTTGCAGATCCATCAGAGCAGCACTAACTTGTCCTGCTGATTTGCAGTTCAATCTATTTTAATAATGGAATACGGTTAATTACAATTATGTGATTAGAAATAAAAGTTCTAATACTTTTAAAATAGAACCTCTGTTCTGCCTTCTATACTCATATGGCACAGTAGGATGAGATGTGCTATAGCCTAGAAAACAGTATATATGGCTCCTCTGCATGAGAAGAAAACCGGCCTGCCCTACATTGCAAAGTAATTCAGAGGAAAATGTGCTGTAACTTCACAGCATGAACAGGGTGATGGGCCAGGCCCACAGAGCATTTTACAGATCACATTATAGAGCAGAACTTAAATGATTTTCATTCTTGGAATGGATGTAAAACATAATGGCCCCATTAAGCACATCCTCTAAAGGCTGCTTTTCCTCTCTTGATATGTCTCCAGGACCATGTACTCCATCTGGCATAATTTGGAATTACAGACTAGAGTGATTGATAGCTCCTCCTTTGGAATCCAAAACTTTACCAATAATAAGGCTAGAAAAGGTGCCCAAATGAAAAAGAAAAAGAAAAAACTCACATAATTTGTAGCTTTCCTCTCCCAAGGCCATACAAATTTTTTTTAAAAGGGGGAATAAGAGAGAGAAAAGACCTGATGTCTTTTCTTCATCAAATACAGTGTAAAACAATCTCTTAATCTCTCTTGTTAGTAAAGACAAATTTGTGGCAACAAGCAAGCACACGGCATAAGGAACTGCTTTAGAAGGTCCTAAAACACATGCACCACATGCCAAGAACAGAGTTGATAAAGGCTTTGGAACTAGCTATCTCTTAAAGACCAGATGGTATTATGCCTCTCTTAAATCACCAAATACAGAAAGAGTAGAAGCCAAACTGCACTAGAATTAGATCAGAGAATTAAACCATTTGAGAAAGCAAACTTGTGCTTGACGGGTAGGTTCAGCCCTGGCAGTAATGGTTATTTCCATGCATACAGTATTAAGTACTGGGATATAAGGATACATCTTTGCTCTCAAAGGGATCAAAAGGTATTAGCTGTAACAAACTGTTTTTGGACTACTGTGATTACTGCAAGACCTATGGCAGTCTCACTGCACCAATTCCAAACCATCCGTGGGAGGCAGGTTTAATTAAATGCACCAGTAAGAGGAACAAATAGCACAAAAGTAGCCCTTCCTCCGGGGGGGGGGATGACAGGTGGAGCAACAGAATTAGGTATCTGTTTCTGATCTTACCTCATCCAGTGCAAAATCCTTTACATTTGGAATAAGTCTGCAAAGAATAAGCTTACTAAGAACAAAGGACTTTTGATTAGTGTTAATTTTGTTGTCCCCCACCCGCTGGTCTGTCACCATCTAGGACTCTGAGCTGCAAATCTGTTCCTGCCAATTACTGCTACAGCCATACTTATGGAAGGAGGTATTCAAATCCCTATTATTTCTATTCCTCCTCCTCCTCCTCCTCTTCCTCCTCCTCCTCCTCTTCGTCATCATCCTCATCATGGCAATGTGTGATCTCTTGGGGAGTTTGAGGGAAGAGGTTGGGTGGTTTAATCTCACTAACAGATCGGGTCAGCTGGTGTCGTTTGTCAGAATCTTTGAAGTCCCCGGAAGTGCGATTGCGGGTGGCCATGGGTGACTCAGTCTCATTGATATCCACGTGGGTGTGTTCCACTGTTGACTCATGTGGCATCTGCATGGAGACAAAGTAAAATACCTTTTTCATTAGAGCTCTGGGAAGGTGCTTCTGACCTTATCTGCACTGCATGCAGCTGCTAACAAGTGCCTAGCTTTTATATTATGTAGTACATTACTTGCTTTTAAAAATATATATATACTGCTTTTCATGCCTAAAACGGACTCCACAGTGGCTAATGAACTATGATGACAAACTAGGAACCACCGAAACAAACTAAAATAAAGCAGGCAAAATAAAGCCAATGAGCAACATTTAAAAACCCTAAAAGCTTGGCAAAACTGAAATAATTCTTCCATCTGCTTAATGGACAACAGAAAATGGGACCAGTCTGACATAACACTTTTTCCTGTATATGCCTACATGTAGCAAAATAGAGGAACCAATTAAAGGATGAAAACTTGTTTTCAAGAGAAGACTTGTCTCCATACCGATAAAGAGCTGGAACATTTTTCGTCGTCGTCGTTTAGTCGTGTCCGACTCTCCGTGACCCCATGGACCAGAGCATGTCAGGCCCTCCTATCTTCCACTGTCTCCCGGAGTTGTGTCAAATTCATGTTGGTTGCTTCGCAGACACTGTCTAGCCATCTCATCCTCTGTTGTCCCCTTCTCCTCTTGCCCTCACACTTTCCCAACATCAAGGTCTTTTCCAAGGAGTCTTCTCTTCTCATGAGATGGACAAAGTACTGGAGCCTCAGCTTCAGGATCTGTCCTTCCAGTGAGCACTCACGGTTGATTTCCTTTAGAATGGATAGGTTTGTTCTCCTTGCAGTCCAGGGGATTCTCAAGAGCCTCCTCCAGCACCACAATTCAAAGGCATCAATTCTTTGGCAGTCAGCCTTCTTTATGGTCCAGCTCTCACTTCCATACACCACTACTGGAAACACCATAGCTTTGACTATTCGGACTTTTGTTGGCAAGGTGATGTCTCTGCTTTTTAAGATGCTGTCGAGGTTTGTCATCGCTTTCCTCCCAAGAAGCCGGGGTCTTTTAATTTTGTGGCTGCTATCCCCATCTGCAGTGATCATGGAGCCCAAGAAAGTAAAATCCTTTCTGCCATCAGAGTGGGATCATCTGCATATCGGAGGTTGTTGATATTTCTTCCGGCAATCTTAATTCCGGCTTGGGATTCCTCCAGTCCAGCCTTCCACATGATGTATTCTGCATATAAGTTAAATAAGCCAGGGGACAATATACAGCCTTTTTGTACTCCTTTCCCAATTTTGAACCAATCAGTTGTTCCATATCCAGTTCTAACTGTTGCTTCCTGTCCCACATATAGGTTTCTCAGTAGATAGATAAGGAGGTATGGCACCCCTATTTCTTTAAGAACTTGGCACAGTTTGCTGTGGTCCACACAGTCAAAGACTTTTGTGTAGTCAATGAAGCAGAAGTAGATGTTTTTCTGGAACTCTCTGGCTTTCTTTATAATCCAGTGCATGTTAGCAATTGGTCTCTAGTTCATCTGCCCATTCAAAATCCAGCTTGTACTTCTGGGAGTTCTCGATCTACATACTGCTGAAGCCTACCTTGTAGGAGTTTGAGCATAACCTTGCTAGCATGTGAAATGAGTGCAACTGTACGGTAGTTGGACCATTCTTTGGCACCACCCTTCTTTGGGATTGGGATGTAGACTGATCTTTTCCAGTGCTCTGGCCACTGTTGAGTTTTCCAAACTTGCTGGCATATTGAGTGTAGCACCTTAACAGCGTCATCTTTTAAGATTTTAAATAGTTCCACTGGAATGCCATCACCTTCACTGCCTTGTTGTTACCCATGCTTTCTAAGGCCCACAACTTCACTTTCCAGGATGTCTGGCTCAGGGTCAGTAACCACATTATCTGGATTGTCCAGGCCATCCAGATCTTTCTGGTATAATTCCTGTGTGCATTCTTGCCACCTCTTCTTGATGTCTTCTGCTTCTGTGAGGTCCCCACTCTTTTGTTGACTATAAGGGCTACTCCATTTCTTCTGCGGGGTTCTTGCCCACAATAGTAGATATGATTATCTCTGAATTGAACTTGCCCATTCCTATCATTTTAGTTCATTGACGCCCAGGATGTCAATGTTTATTCTTGCCATCTCCTGTTTGACCACATCCAGCTTACCAAAGTTCATAGATCTTACATCCCAGGTTCCTATGAAGTATTTTTTCTTTGCAGCATCGGACTTTCCTTTCACTTCCAGGCATGTTCACAGCTGAGCGTCCTTTCGGCTTTGGCCCAACCACTTCATTAGCTCTGGAGCTACTTGTACTTGTCCTCCGCTCTTCCTCAGTAGTATGTTGGACGCCTTCCGACCTGAGATGCTCATCTTCCAGTGTCATATCTTTTAGCCTTTTGTTTCTGTTCTTGGGGTTTTCTTGGCAAAGATACTGGAGTGGCGTTCCAGTTCCTGCTCCAGGTGGATCGCGTTTAGTCAGAACTGTCCACTATGACCTGTCCGTCTTGGGTGTCCCTGCATGGCATAGCCCATAGCTTCTCTGAATTACTCAAGCCCCTTCGCCACAACAAGGCAGCAGTCCGTGAAGGGGAAATGACAAGGTACAGAATGCAACTTCGGCACATGGCTAAGATGTGTCCCATCATCCTTTCAATCAGCCACATTTGGCTGTGGCATGTTAGGCAAACCTTAGGCAGACACCCACAGGATTCTGGCCAGAGAATAAGTTCCAGTACATTTAGCTAAATTTGCAAACAGACTGTAACAGGCAGTCCCTGAGCCACACCAGTTTTCAAAAACTGGCTTATTCTGTGGAAAGGGAAGAAGAGGATGTCGTTTGACAACATCTAAGATTGCAATCTAAAACATGGAAGCAAGTCCCACTGAACTCAGTAGAGCTTATTTTGAAACAGACATGTATAGAACTGCACTATAATTGCTTTTACAAAAACATGTGCCAAAAAACAGAGAGAATGTGTAAAGGGGGAGGGGGAGAATAGCAGAGAAAGAAAGAGAAAAGGCATATGTGTGCATGTGCTGGAAGTGGCTGCAGCTCCTTTCCTAGCCTTAGAGGATTTCCCTTTACAATAGACAGAACAGGACTACCCACATGTCTCCTACAGAAAAAAACTACAGTCCTTTCCACATATACACACACTTCTGCATTTCCTATCTCCACTTCTCTCTACATTTGCATGGTTGGTCTCTAGTGTTTTGAAGCAGCTGAGGCCACATTCTCTTCTCACAAGGTTTCTGTGACTTATTTGTGGCCCCTCATGGTGCATTTGTAGTGTTAAGAGCATCTCAATAACCTTAAAACCCTTGAAGAAACCACGTCTCCTATCAGGTTTGCAGATGCAGAAGGCTGATCAGAGGGCAGCAGTTGGCCGTGCTGAGGGCATGGGCTACTCTGTCTTATGAGCTTGGCAAACCCTTACAATCCTTGGAAAGGCAGAAATGCATAAGGTGGATAAAATCAATAATTTATAAAAATCAAATAGATTTAAATTATAATTTCAATCACTATTTAATTTAAATTTGATTTTTATATAGATTGATGAAAATTCATTAAAAATTAAATTGTGATTTAAATCAATTTTGATTTTGATTTAAATAAAATCCACCTTGGAACCACATCAGAGTCAGCTCAAAGCACTACATATGACTACAGGTGAGGCTTGACAAGAGACAGTATAATGTAAAAAATAATATGACAGACCTTGGGACACTGAATTACATTTGTCAATTTACTATTATTTTCAAATGCACAAGATCTCCTGATAGCTGCCACATTCTTTATGTTTCTGCCCATCACATTCAAATATATACCTCTTCTGACTGAGGAGCTCTTCACATTCCTCCCTGGAGGTTCAGAAAGGACATGCATAAATCTAGTTATCAAGAGTGTAGTTGTACTAATTTGAACTCACCAGCACATGGGCAGCTCTGAAAAGGTAACTGAAGGGATAATACAGGAGGTTGATGAATGATGCTGCGTAGAGGTCTGCGTAACGCATCACTTGACTGGCAAAGAGAGTTTGTCGGGAGCCACTTCGGAACAGGCTTCCCATCATCCCGTAGCACATATCCATGTCATGAGTCACTTTCTAAAATCAGACAGCAAGTTAGAAGCAATTGATATGAACCAATAACTCCTTCTGGGAATAACAACTCTGTAACATGGAGATGCCTGGGATCCCTCACTTGCTTCAGTAAAGAGACAATTCTACACACTTAGAAGCATATCACTGCAAGCGGAGACAAACAACACACCTCCTTTATATGCTGCCCAGCAACACAGCAGATGTAAAACTGGATTTTCCCAAGAAAGGGAGGAGCAGAATCAAACCAGAAGGGGAACCAATTATTGTAGATTTCTGGCATCCAAAATCTTCAAATAAGTAAGCATATAAGGATATTAGCTTTAATTTCTACTGATGTCTCAAATATGTAATAAAATGCAAGTAAAGATTTACTGTAGGACTCTTGGCTGCCTATGTGGTGTGGCCTTGAAAGAAGACAAAGCAAGGCACAGGATATTCATCACCTTACCCAAGAGATGTAGGTAAGCATGTATGTTTCTCCAAAAGAAGAGAGATGAGGCAATTTCAGCCCCACTGCTGCTATCCTGCCTTCCAAATTGCCATTCTCCATTCATTCAAAATAGGGTTACCTCTCCTACTAGAGTGCCTGGCTGCTTTAAATCAATGTCAGGATTTCAGCTCTCTAAACCACTGGTTCTTAACCTTGGGTTACTCAGGAGTTTTGGACTGCAACTCCCAGAAGCCTTCACCACCAGCTGCCCTGACTGGGGTTTCTGGGAGTTGCAGTTCAAAAGCATCCGAGTAACGAAGGTTAAGAACCACTGCTCTAAACTACCCTGAGCTCTCTGCTGCCTTGAGACTTCCAGATGCAAACTCATACCAATATAACTAGAAATCTTAGCAGACATAGTTTATCCCATCACAGAGCTGCAATGATGGGGAAAGTTACATACATTATATTGTTCCCTCCAAAGGTAAAGGAGCTTTTTAGGGTATGCATCCAGTGCACTATTTCTAATTAACAACCCTTAAATGTCCACTTTGTGCCATCAGCTCATAGCCAGTCTACTCCCTAATCTAAGGCCTATGAGCTCTCTTTTCTTTTTCAAGTACAGTATGTGCATCCACTAAATCTTTTTACAAAAGTGGCTGCATACAATTCCATGTGACACAAAGGCTCATGCAACTTTCCCCTGAATTTTTTAGAAGCAGTGGCTAAAGATTCGAGTCTGGAAGATAATCTTTTCCCCTCTTTTAAATGCTACCTTCCCTTGAAAGCAATCACCTGCTGGTGTTGTTGCGTAAAGCCAAACTTTTCTCTCTGACAGCCCTTGCTCTCAGTCTCTCTCCCTACTGCCAGAGATCCAGACTGATTCCTTGGTAGTGAGTTTTTTAAACTCACTGAGCTAAACTAGCTCAGGGTAGTTTAGGGCCACAGCATGCCTCAACAGGGTCGTTGAGGGCCACAGCATGCCTTCTCTTGATTTAAGTGGAGGGGATAAAGTACAAGAATGTGGGAGAATGTTTTGAACTGGAAAAAAGGCAGACAGCCCATCCCCCAGACAATTCTTCAACACCACAGCATCCTATAGCTACTTTGGACTGGAGATTGCTGCATGAACCTGCAGTATAAGCAGACCTCAATGTGTTTCCTGTGTCTTCTGTTTTCTTTACTTAACCACATTACACCAGCCTCTCTCCTTGTGCAACACTCCTGGTCCCTGCAGCACATATTTGTCCACACACTTTCCACCAAATCAGCACACATGTGCTACATATATGACCCCATCTTATTATCTTTTTTTTTCTAATTGTTGTCTTTTCAAATTTTTCTCTTTCTCCTTCTGTCAGATACAGTGGTGCCTCGTTTAACGACGAATCCGCATAGCGACAATTTTTTGCAATCGCATAACGATGTTTCTAATGGAAAAATATCGCTTTGCGATGATCGGTACGCTGTTTCGCTTACCGATTTTCGCATAACGATGTTTTCCCAACAGCTGATCGGCGGTTTCAAAATGGCTGACGGGTAAAAAAATGGCCACCCGCTGTGTTTTCGCGCCCATTCCTCACTTACCGGGCAGCAAAAATGGCAGCCATATGAAGGATTTTCGCATAAAGGTAATTGTTTTTGCCCACAGGAACGCATTAAACGGGTTTTAATGCATTCCTATGGGCTTTTTTATTTCGTATAGCGACAAATCCGTATACCGACGATTTTGGCTGCATGGATTATCATCGCTATGTGGGGCACCACTGTACTTTTTCAGTACATTTCTATTAGTTTTCCAATGCAATAGGATTTCCCTCCAAAGAAGTTACCACTTAATGCTTCATGCTAGAGTCTGAAGCACTGGAAAGGGACCCCTAATGAGCAGATAAAAATCAAACCAAAGACATTTTGTAGCAAAAGCACATGCAATTCACCGTTACCTTAATACGCCGTTGGATGGAACTGATGTCAGGACGCTCATTGCTGCTGCTGTCCAAATGCCTGTTGAAGGACTGAAATTAATTACAACAGAAGACACAGAAGACCAGGGCCATGTAGAGCTGGATATAGGCCTGAGTCAGATGAGAAATGTAGGCCCCATTTCAAACCATACAATTACCTTTGTAATTGATGCTATATACATGACTTATGTATGGGTATATATACGTACCTAGGGGCCAATTATTTAGCAAGTCTTTTTTTTACACTTAAATTTTTAATGAAAAGATTTATTTATTTATTTATTTATTTATTTGTTTGTTTGTTTATTTATTTATTTATTTATTTTATTTATATCCCGCCTAGCTAGCCAACTCAGGACCACTCTAGGCGGCTAGATCATCAGCAAAAACACATAGCTAATAAATCAAGTGCTGGCATGCAGATGCAATTTGAATGTCTTTTTATCCTATACTGCTGTTTATAATAAAGGTTGCTATATGAAATATCTATGTGTACGCCAGTGCATCCCGAGTGTGTTCTAGTGGCCATATAATATTCCGAATGGCTTTTTCCCCCAAAGAGAACATGATGAGTAAGTGGGGCGGGTGGGTAAGTAGAGGCGGGGGGGGGCACACAACAAATAGCCTTGGCCCTAGGGGCCCATTACCATCTTAATCACCCCTGCCTGGTAGAAACAGAAGAGAGTTGGAATGAGTTACAATTCTACAAGACATTTATCTGTAGAACTACAGTGGCTGCTGAGGTGAGTCAGCACTAGCTTCTGGTGTAACAATACCGAACATCTCATTAAAATTGTTCTGTACCCCCTTGTTTTCCATGAATTTATTTGTTTATATATTTTTATATTTTATCTGTATTAATCTTCTTTCAAATGTTAATATTTATTGCTAAAGGATGCCCCTTAACTCTCTTGGAGTAGGCCCCCTCAAAATCATATGCCCATATCAACTGGTCCACTGTTCTCGTCCTCCCTCATTCTGGCCTGCTGAAGACTGTGGCCTTGGCAGAATAAATACTAATTTGGGAAGGCTGAGTGTGTAGGACAGCAGTAATATGGGCACAAAACAATGTCCTATTTTCTAGTCACAGTTTCTTTGTTAATTTGGAAGTTGTAACCACTCACTAACCATGAGCAACTTTAACTGCTGACTTGTAAGAGGCAATACTTAGGTGATATCCTGTGGATTACTTACTTGTATAGCTCAGCCAAGAATATGTCTAGACTCTGAAGTTCTTCAAAAAGGCCTAAATACCGGAGGAAGCAAAGGACATCATGAAAGTGAAAATCAGCTCAGTTGAATAACACCTGTCTAGAAGACTGCTTCTTTCTTACCAATGTGACAAGAAAGCTGGTAATGTTAAATTCTCTGAATTTATGACACAGTTCTGCAATCCTCTGTGTACATATTTCAGTCACAGAAAAATTGGAAACAACTCAGGTGAATAGAAACTGGACTGCAAGCCCGTTATTTCTAGTTTGGAATGCTGGGAGCACTCAAATGCCCTAAAAACCATAATCTGTTTTTCCAGAATGAAAAAACGGAATCAGCCTTTGGTAATTGTTTCAGTGATACACTGAACCTCCTGAAGATAGGTCCAATTCCTGATTCTGTACTACGACCATGTTTCTGCAGTCTTTAACATTAAGAGCCCAATTGCCTTTATGGTAGATATGTTTTGTTTTACTAGTTGTTGTAAGCTATCTTAAGAATGTTAATGGACATTTAAATATAATGTAAATATTTCAAATAACAAAAGATACCGTTTTGGGTTTTGTTTTTTTTTTTTTGCTCTATAAGATGCACTTCCCCCCCCAAAAAAAAATTGGGGGAGAAGTCTGTGTGTCTTATGGAGCCAAGCTGGCGATTTCGCCCCCACTGGCCCCGTGGGGGGGGTGAGCCTCACAAGGACCCGAGTCCGCCTTTCAGGACCCTTGGGAGGCTTCCCCCAGCCCCCCACAGGGCCAGTGGGGGAGAAATCACCAGCTTCCAGGAGCTTTCTGAGCCTTTCCAACCCTCAGAAAAGGTCCTGGAAGCTGACGATTTTGCCCCCGCTGGCCCCGTGGGAGTGGGGGTGGGGGGAGCCTCCCAAGGGTTCTGGAACACACCCTTGGACCCTTTGGAGGTTCACCCTGCCTCCCCCGCGGTGCCAGAGGGGACAAAATCGCCACCTTTTGGGACTCTTTTGAGGCTTGGGAAGCTTCAGAAGAGTCCCTGAAGGTGGCGATTTCGCCCCCTCTGGCCCCCGGGGGGCTGAGTGAGCCTCCAAAGAGTCCTAGGGTGTATTCCATAAGACGGATCTCTCCATAAAGCTCACCAAATTTTTAGAAGAAAAAAACATATTTTTTCCGTTTTCTTCTCCTAAAAATTTGATGCATCTTATGGAGAGATGGGTCTTATGGACCGAAAAATACGGTAAATGTCTGCAACCCTAGTGATACAACTGGCAAAGTAAGCAAGCCCTACCAGTCCACAGCAGTTAAAAAAATCAATATATAAGGAAGACAATAATCTACTGAAGACAAGGACATTGCATTGCATAACAATCTGGAAACTTGTGTCCTTTGACACACACAAACAACACAAATAAACACTGGTAAAAATGGAAACATTTCCCCAACTACTTACATTAAACTAAGCCACATCAGTTAAAAGTGGCATGGCTTGAAACTGGATAGTTTATTACTTACAGCTTTTATCTGTCCAAACATGCAACTCTTGTGCCAGCTCTGGAATCACTAAGAAGGTTCTCCAACCCTGACGTTTCTTGGACTTCAAAATGTCTCCAAAAATGTGATCACCTATGTACAAGATGTCTTTACCCTTGGCCCCCAGAAGATCACAGATAGTATCAGAGGAACCTGAGAGAAGGAAAAAAGGCCAATGACTGCAAAGCAGAACTGTGCTTATACCATGTATGAATATGGTTGTGGGTGATCCTAACTCCTGGCAGCTCAATCCCTGCTGCAGAACATTTTCTGGTCTTCTATGTCTGAAGCCTTTGTATGCCATGTGGATTTTGCACTTAGATGAGACTTTTTTGTATTCTGGTACAGTATGTCCTAAAGTGATACAGTGGTTAAACTGCAGTATTGCAATGAAAATTCTGCTCATGATCTGAATTTCATCCTGGGCTCAGGTTGCCAGCTCAAGGTTGACTCAACCTTCCATCCTTCCAAGGTCAGTAAATTGAGTACCCAGCTTCCTGGCAGGGGAGTGGGGCAATGTGTACCCTGCATAATTAAATTGCAAGTCACCCAGAGAGAGCTTTAAGCACTATGGGGTAGCTGATACTATGGGGCAGTAGATAAGCAGCAAACCTTATAAGCAGCACACTTTGTACTTGGCTCTCCATCTGATTAATTTATGAGGGAAGGCTTAACACTACTACTCTGCTAGTGTATGGCTTCTCTAACTGATCTACACATCCACCTATAATTGAGGTACATGTTTTGAAAATACCAAGTTCATCTGATCAGAAGAGAGATCCTATAAACAGAAGACAGCGATCTACCATCTGAAAATGTGAGTCTGTTTTTGAGGTTTAGAAGCTTTGGAGAAAAGGGTTTCCATACCCTCCAGCCACTAAATATTACTATCGTCTTTGACTTCTCTATAGTATACATGTTATAATGAATCCTCAACTCTATTAATACAAAAATTGTCACTTCTCTCTTTGCTTACAACCATAACTGAATAATTCCTATTGATCTGATCTGATTTTAGTGGAAGAACAGCCATAGTTGTTAGTTTGTTTCTACAGCACTTGATGAAGCCAGAAATCTCGTTTGCATTTAGTAGATTAGTTGGATCTGCATAACACCTCCCACACACTATCTCAAGACTGTTCAAACCACTGATCTGGGTTTTTTCTAAATTATATTTATTTCCACCTCACTTTCTTTTCCTTGTTGTTTTGCTTAACAAACAATTTAAAGAATACTTCTGAAGAAATTAAAACTGACTTATCACACTGATATTTTATTTGCTCATAAAAATCATTATGTATATATCACAGTGGCTTTTCTTTCTGTCTCATGAGTTACCTCTGCTGACAAGAGAATCTATACCTATGTAAGAACTATGGGCAAGAACTGAGTGAGACAAGAATAAGAATGAGATTATTTAAAAGCATTTAAAGCTTTAAAAACAACCTTAGCTTAAAAACAGCTTAAAAACGGCATCAAGGGACTCAGTTATGGTTATAAAAGAGTGCTTCACAGTTACTCTTCCAATTCTTAGTATTCTTCTGATTTCTTGGCTGTAGTATCCATTTGAATTGATAGTTCTTCAGAATTGTGTTTCCATCTTTATTTTATCCTAGACGGTTAATGCCTTCCCCTGTTGATCTTTTAGCATTCCTATTCCGGGTTTAAATCTCCCTTCAATTTCTTGGATTTTATGGAAGAATATCTCTTTTTGCCTATTTTATTCCCTTCCATGTCTTTGCACTGATTATTATAATATCTTTCTTTGTGTCTACATGTAAATTAATGAAAGGTTCCATTTAGGATTCTGACCCTCTTTCTGTTACATCTTACTTTTGCCTCTTGTCTGTCCTGAGAAAGTACATGCAAGTTTCAAATGGGAGGTTGAAATAGAATTAACAGTTAAAATGTCACACCTCCTGTTAAAAGAACCAGCCACCCTAATTTCTAATTTACCTCCAGAATAGACAATGCCATGCTGCAAAGGGCCTGTGTAGGTACCAATCTTCAGTTTGCCAGTAACCTGGAAAAAAATAACTTTTATTAGATTGTATGTATACATGCATGCATTTATTTCACTTTTTTACATTTTCACACTGTGCCATGGACTGGGATCACACTGGGAAGTGTGTAAGGACCCTCTGGCTTAAACCTTCAATTTGTATCACTCCTTTTCTTCAACAGATGGAAAACCAGTAGAAAGACAGCTTGCTATGTGATTGTTGTTTACCTCCTCCCAAAACAAGGCTTTGTTTACTTTATTTTTCTTCATGTCCTCTCTTTAATGGTCCAAACTGAAGACAGGCAGGATAACACAGAAGCCTGTAGCATGAAATGAGATCCTAGCAGCAATATAAATCTACAGCTTGTGCTTCTGTATACTGTACATCCTCGTATCATAGACAGCCTACAGCTGTCCCTCCTTTTGCCCTCAGTGCATCTGTGCCATATAAGTGCATTTAATCTCGCCATGTATGTATGTTCCCCAGAACCCCTTTGTATGACCTTCAGTAAGATATTGCATATGAAAACCTGATTTTCTAAATTCTACAGTAAAGATGCGATACCCAGTGTGGTATAGTGCGACAGAGTGATGGACTAGGATGGTTTGAATCCCCACTTGGCCATAGAAACTCACTGGGGGAGTGGAACTGATAAAACCACTCCTTAGATATCTCACTTACCTTTAAAGTCCCATTAGGGCCGCTATCAGTCAGTTCTGATTTAACAATAGATGACTAAGTAACTAATAGTAAAAAATGGAGGTTGATTGGAAAGCAGAGCAGAACAACTAATTTCTGCCTATGTTCCATGCTTCAAGTGAAAATTTCAGTGGAGTAAGCTACCAATAGCAGGTTTTGAGGGGGAAAAACAGGTTACTTACAGTTGTGTTCAAAATTATTCAGCCCCCAATGCTGTAAAGGGGTTTAGGGACTATAGTGTACATTTGGAATTGTATTCAGAATGAAATCCTACAAGGATGTTTTAAAGAACCAAATGCAACTAAAATAACATCAATTGTTTATGTAATACAGTAGTAAATGTTTCTTTTGTGGTTTCTTCATTGCCACAATTATTCAACCCCTTAAAGACTACTACTCTGAAGAAGAGAGGTTCATTCAGGTGTTTTCGATCAGGTATTGAAAACACCTGTGGATGTCACCGAGCACCAATCAAGCATAATAAGCACCAATTAGGCAGCTTTAAAATGACTGTGATACTCAGCTCCTTCTAGACATTTACTGGTGTGGTTACAAACATGGTGAAGTCAAGAGAATGGTCCAGGAAGACAAGAGAAGAGGTGATTTGTCTTCACAGGAAGGGCAATGGCTATAAGAAGATTGCAAAGAAGTTAAACATACCAAGAGACACCATAGGAAGCATCATTCGCAAATTCAAGGCAAAGGGCACTGTTGAAATGCTACCTGGTCGTGGAAGAAAGAAGATGCTGACTTCGACTGCTGTGCGCTACCTAAAGCGTAGAGTGGTGAAAAGTCCCCGTGTGACTGCTGAGGAACTGAAAAAAGATTTGTCAGATGTGGGTATAGAAGTTTCAGCTCAGACAATAAGGCGCACACTGCGTAATGAAGGTCTCCATGCCAGAACCCCCAGGCGCACCCCCTTGCTGTCTCCCAAGAATAAGAAGAGTCGACTGCAGTATGCCAAAAGTCATGTGGGCAAACCACAAAAGTTGTGGGATAGTGTTCTGTGGACTGATGAAACAAAATTAGAACTGTTTGGGCCCATGGATCAACGCTATGTTTGGAGGAGGAAGAACAAGGCATATGACGAAAAGAACACCTTGCCTACTGTGAAGCATGGCGGAGGGTCAATAATGCTTTGGGGCTGTTTTGCTTCTGCAGGTACAGGGAAGCTTCAGCGTGTACAAGGTACCATGAATTCTCTTCAGTACCAGGAGATATTGGATGAAACTGTGATGCAGTCCGTCACACACCTGAGGCTTGGGAGACGTTGGACCTTTCAACAGGACAATGATCCCAAGCATACCTCCCAGTCCACTAGAGCATGGTTGCAGAGGAAAGGCTGGAACATTTTGGAGTGGCCATCGCAGTCACCAGACTTAAATCCGATTGAGAACCTCTGGTGGGACTTAAAGAAAGCAGTTGCAGTGCGCAAGCCTAAGAATTTGACTGAACTGGAGGCTTTTGCCCATGAAGAATGGGCGAAGATACCCGTAGATCGCTGCAAGACACTTGTGTCAAGCTATGCTTCACGTTTAAAAGCTGTTATAACTGTAAAAGGATATTGTACTAAGTACTAAGATTGAATGTCACTTGGGGGTTGAATAAAAACTAATAATGATGTGAGCACAGAAAAGACATTTGTGGTTATTTCATTATAAACTTAAGGTTATATTTCTCTGACCTACAAGTGCCTCCTTCATGTAAATGTAAGTAAGATGACTGAATGATCAAAATCAATGTCAAAATGGCCAAAACATTCAATTTCAGTGGGGGCTGAATAATTCTGAACACAACTGTACATGTAATGGTGGTTCTTTGAGTGGTCATCTGTGAATTCACAGATGCGGGTTGTGTCTGCATCTGCACCAAAGTCTGAGAACATTCCAGAGCCAAAAGAAAACCATTACACTAAACTCCTGTAGTGTGCATGCACCTGTTCCTTCAGTTCCCCTGGTCCACCACTATTAAGAGAAAAACACAGTTGCATGGCAGACTGAGGGAAGGATGTGTGGTTTGTATGAATTTACAGATCACTCAAAGAACCAGTTACAGGTAAGTAACCTGTCCTTCTTCATGGTCTCTGTGAATCACACATGTAGTTGACTGAAAAGCTCACTTACTGGCTGGTGGGATGTCACACCAACACAGATGAAATTGCCACTCTTTCAAATTTAGCATCAAGTTTTCCCCTGATGTCCAACCTATAATACTTGAAGAACATTGAGAGTTGAGACCACGTTGCTGCTTTACAAATGTCTCCTAATTGGATTCCTTTAGACAGGCTGTAGACCAGACATTCTCAACAAGGGCCATATGGCCCCCTGGGGGCACCTGGCATATTTGAAGGGCACCACAGACTGGAAACAATTCTTCACACACCACCTTATACGGTTAATTATACAACTTATACAATCCTGATTTGACCTACATTTCTTTTATATTGTGCTTATAGCCGTGGTCTATGGTTGAGAATGGCTGCTGTAGATGATGCAGTGACAACTCTAGGGGAACACCCCTTCAGAGATATAGGGACTGGTTTCTTTGCCAGCTGGTAAGACAGCATGGTCACGTTCACTCATTTTGACTCCTGATAACTGATAGTTTGTTAGACTTCTACAAATGCCAGAACTAGGGCTGCAAATGTTTAATATGTGAAGTGCTTTTTCCAGTCCCATAGCAGGTGATGGGAAGAACACCGGAAATACCAGGGGCTAGTTAAGGTGAAACTCTGAAACTAGTTTAAGTAGGAAAGGCGTATCAGGGGAAATGGTAACCTTATTCTTATAGAATGGCAGGAAAGGTAGGTAATGCTAGAGAGCACACGTTCATTTGCTCTTCACACTGAAGTGGTTCCCACTAAAAAGACTGTTTTGTATGTAAGTACTCTTAAGTCTGTAGTAGCCATCAGCAAAAAGGTTGCTTCATGAGCTGGCTGAGTACTAGTGAAAGTGACCATGGTAGAGGTAGAACCCTGCACATCAGGAAAGACTTCCTGAGAGAGGGATTTTTGAAAAACTGTAATGTCTTGGAACCAGAAGGCCACTTTGCTACTATAGCTGATAGACTTTTTCAGAGGAGTTCTATAAACTATTCTCCTTTAGATGTAAAAGAAAATACAGTATCATATGTAGCAAGGGCAGGAGGCTAGATTCTCCTATTAATTGTGTGAAGGAGAAGAATCTGTGCCATTTGTATTTGTAGCTAAGTTTGACGGATGACTTTCTAGTTTCATAGATACTTCTCTTTAGTGTTGGAGACTTCACTTCAGCCTGGTTAGGTCTGGATGGCAATCCATCCTTCTATTCTAAGATAATAAGAAAGGGATTGATGACAGCTAGTAAATGTTTCTTGCCATTGGTTTTAATGTCATGGACCAGGCATGGTGCAGCCACCATGGAGCCACCATAAGACTGCATTGGATTTCTCTCAACGAAGTGTCACTATCACTCTGTGCAGTAGAGGAATTGGTGGAAAGAGGCAGAGTTTCCTCAACCAACAGGTCATGAAGGCATTTCCTAATGAGTACTCTCCCTGGCCCACTCAAGAGCAGTATTTCTGACACTCTTGCAAATCTTATTGAACATGCTTGTGGTTAGTTCCCACTTGTGGTCTTGAGATAGCTTGTCTGCTTAGGCTGTTGGCTATTCAGTTCTCTTCCTCTGCTACATGGATGGCCATTGAGAAGATGAGGCACAAAACAATCCATTCCCAAAATTGGATCACTGGGAACAAAAGAGACATGGAGTGTACTCTGCCCTGTTTATGTAGAACATCGTGGTGTTGTTGTCAATGGCCACCTGTACTACGCTGTCCAATATCCATTGCCTTAAGTGTTTTGAAAGCCTTTGTTACTGCTAGCAGTTCAAAATTGTTTATATGAATATCTCTTTCCTTCTCAGACCACACGGCATGAATTTGACAATTCTGGCAACGTGCTCCCCAACCTGTCCACCATGCATCAGTTGTGGCCTGAGATAGTTGAATGGCCTTTCCATGGTTAGACTCGATTCACTGGTCCACCATAAGAGCTGTAATGCTAGTTCATGAGTCACGGTTAACATTTAGGAATTGCTCTCTGTCACCATATTGAAAGAAACTAGGTACCAAGCCTGAAGAGCTGCACTTTCAAGGAGGCATGTGGAATTACGGCTGCTGTTGATGTCATGAGACCCAGCAGTCCTTGGGCCATGTACGTTGTAACCTTCATGCCTGGTTTTCATTTCTTTGTCAAGCTCAGAAGGTTTTTCACCCTGTCTTGAGGTAAGCAGGTTCTTGTAGTCCTGTGCCAATGTACTGAACCTTCTGATGTGGTTTCAAA